AGACTTTAGAATAGCTTTTACCTATAGTTCTATTTCCTTTTAACTAAATCCTGACGAACTTTTATTACAGAAAACTTTAAAGTTGCAGACCGCTATTCTGCAATACGAAGTGTATTGCAGTGTAATAGAATATATTAAAATACTTGTTTCGTCCATCTAAAACGTTTAACGTTAAACAAATAACAGTTATTGTGCCCAATCTAATATAGAGATAATAATAGATTAGGCACAATACAACAAGAAACGATAATACAAATTTATTTTATCCAAATTAGTGTTAGCTTTAGCCAAATTACAGACATTAAAATACTTTTCATAGACTTCTTTGATATAAAAAAAACTCCTATCCTACTAGTAGTACCTGTCCTACTATCCTACTTCCTACTACATATAATATTATAAATGTGAAAGTGAGTTCGGATGTTTGTATGTAAAGGTAAGGCTCAAGCACGCAATAACTACTAAACGGATTTTGACAAAGGAGACGGTCCGTATGAAGCGCAGGCCCGGTTTTGTACAAGTAGGGAAATAAATGAAAATTTTAATATATTACATTACTTTTGGTCATTCAAATCCACGAATTTGCCTTTATTTCAGTGGTATTAATATTTTATTCTTACCAAAAATTGCAACACTGATGGCGAATTGATGTCGTTTTGACGTTTGCTGTCAACTGCCATGAGGTTATTGATGCCTAGTGATACAAAATGTGATTCTACAGATGTCCGATATGAACGAAGTCAAAATCTCACTCTCTCAATAATGAAGTCCATAAAACAAAAGCTGAGCCAAACAATAACAGATACAAATTCCAAATTTAAAAAAACAACGAATCGCCAAAGAAATCCAAAATAAACACAATACCTAAACGCATTAATGAGTTCACAACTCCACGAACAAGATCGGAATAAAAAAATATCACACTACCTTCATTATTTCATGACGAAGTCACTTTTTAAATACACACATAATTTTATGAATGGAAGGGCACCATCTTGTAAAATCATCAACAATTGGGATTATATTTTTATTTTTAGCAAGTCATTTAGTTTGATTTATTCTTTCATTTTATTTTTAAGAAAATCCCTGAATTTTTCGGTTTTTTACGGTATAATGTAAGGTAAGATTTGGCTTGAAATGGACCGTCTAAAAAAAAAAAAAAAAAAAAAAAAAAAAAAAAAAAAAAAAATATATATATATATATATATATATATATAATAACAAACCGGAACAGGACATTTACTATAATTTTAGTAAAAAATGTTTAAGTGTATCTTTAATTATATTTTTTTCGGTGGTGCCAAAATTCACCAATAAAACTTCATTTCCTGGCGTGCTCTGCGTTAACTATAGAATTTACTAACGAATTGGACCTCTTAATCTTCTAAAACTCTGGGAAACACTGTGTCTATATATACGTGGTAGAGCCATGCTGCAGCTATGGTATGGTTGTGGCACGAACGGTCGGTTTGACTGGGGAAGGACTAAGCTCTCACAAAATACCGCGTAAAACAGCAGTTTAATACTACTGTGTTTTGTATCGTTAGTGTATAGAACAAGAGACCCTTTTTTACTGGAAACGAGGCATTCCATATTAGTCCTCGGGGGTGACAACGCATCTGCTTTTTGATTATTTATCAAGGATAAATGTAGATGTCTATGAGCCACAGCATCCACTTACCATAAGGTGGACTGTGTGTTCGTTTGTCATCCAAATTCTATAAAAAATTATGTATATCTATAACAGATGAGGCACAATAACTGTCATTTGTTTAACGTTTAACCTTTTAGATGAGCGAAACAAATATTTTAATGTATTCATGGAAGTGTATTGCAGTATAGAGAGCAATCTGCAACTTTAAAGTTATCTGTAATAAACAGTTCATCAGGATTTAGTTAAAAGGAAACTGAGCCAGGGGTAACAGTTATTCTAAAGTTAAATTCCTATCGGTAATATTCTTTCGGTTATATTTCCTACTAAATGATTAGCCACAATAACTTACCGTCTTTCTTCTACGTTGATAGTAGAGCAATGAATAGAAATGTGCCATAATATATGCTTTCTATCGATTACTCCTTATGATTTTTCAACCTGAGAACTTTACTTTGATGCAGCATCGCAAAATACTTGTAAAATTAAGTTTATTTTTGTACTAAGCTACATTTAGACTTCAAATCCATGTTAAATGTGTGTTTAACATGGATTTTTGTATTTATAGTCAATAACGGCGTAAGCAATGTTTTCATTTTTTGACATCATACAGCCAACTGAACAGACCAAATTCAAATGCATGTGGCGGGATTTACGCAACTTCAATACAACACGTATTAAAGAAGCGATCGAGCGGGACCAGAGCTCCAAAGTCTTTGTCAGAGATCTGTCAGCCAGAATGAGCCAACTGTCAAAGCTGAAGACCGAATGTGTAAGTTAATTGTATGGTAATTCTATACTATCGCGATCCCCTCGTTTTTTTTTTTTAAAAAACATTAATTTTTATATATAAAAAATATGTATGACAAGATTATTTTATTAATGTTCTAAAACCTTTATGACCTTGAAAGAGCAACCCTAGCTGAGCGTGGGAACTATAGAAAATATATAAAAATAAATATTAGCTTGTGAGGAAATAATAAAAACGGGGAAGTTTATGTTCAGCGTTGAAAGGTTGTATTGAATGGAAGGGGAAAAACGATTTCGGTTAAAACTTCATTAATTAAGACCTTTGATGCTGATTTTGTAGATAATGACGAAAATCATTCAAACAAAGTTCATTAATTTAGATCTTTAATTATTTCTGTAGATAAGTTGTATTCAACAAACGACACGAGTCCCTTTTCATAGCACGCAAACACAAAGTAATACACACACACAATTAGTATAAGCTACTTGTGTTACAGAGCTCGAGCTTATTTGACATTTAGGGTAATGAGCACGACTCAATCGAAATTAGGTCACATGACTTATAAATTTTACATAAAACGACATAATTTCTAAGTGTTTTATGTCTACCGGTTATATCCTAAGTTACTACTATAATAATATTTAAAAAAAAAACTCCTAAAACGACCCTTACGTATAATATATAATATGGCCTTATAAAGTATATTGCAACTTTTTGTATTGGGTGTGTAATATTAAATAATACTTATTTAGTTTTTCTTCGTCTTTCCTGATACTAAACAATAACTGTTACAAGTGGTAGAGAGTAAAGGCTATTAACTGATTCGTGGTTAAAAAATTACGAATCCACAACTCAGATCCTTCTCGGTGAGTCTTTTTCGGTGATTGTGAATTGTTAATTCTGTACTTAATATTTAGACATGAACTTTAACATTTTATTATATAGTCATCAAGAGCTATTTTGCTTAAATATAAATAAAATGCTTCTGTGTTATTCTAGAAATGTAAAAAAAATTGTCATTTGATAACACCTCAACGAGTTTGATAATAATTAAAATTATACCAGTTATTATATAACAATAATAGTTTCAGTGGGGACAAATTTTACGTTTATTTTTTTTTCTTTGCACAACTCTGAAAATTCTGGTTGCTTTCAGCCTAAGTCTTCCTCGAGTTGATTTAGTCATGCAACTGCTTAGCCTTACCGTAGTCAAGAGCGTATCCCTTTAAGCAACCTCACGTGCCCCTGGGGTTATGGGTACCGTTCATTGAGTAACACTGGTACATGACGTCGGCACGACCACGAAACTATAAAGAACCACTCTCTCGTAAACAAGAGCGTAAAAAAGTAAAGTTATAGCTTATATGAGCCCCACCGCAGGGCATAGGACTTTGTTGAGATGGTTTTAGAACAAGGAATTAGCCGCCGCGCTGCCAAAATGTATATTTGCCGACTTCACATGTCTACGAAATATTAATAGAAGAAAATTTTATATTTTCAGAATCGACAGTATCTCTATGGTTAGGTTAGGGACTACAAACTTAGAAAGTAGTGGGTTCCATTCCACCTTTGTTACCGCACATTTGTTAATCCACAGTTCCTCTCATTGTTGGTTTTAGGAAGATGCTGCAGTCCCTTTCCTGGTTTGTTTTCATTTCTCGCCTCTTACGACACCCACGAGACGTTATGGGGCGGTGGATATTTTAACACCGCCATGGTACATATTTCACATTACATAGATATTTTTATTTGATGTTATTCCAAAAGCCGAACTGTAATAAATCAATATTTAAGCATAGACGATTTATTTCTAAGTAAAATCTTGATTTTTTAAAATAATCTTTCCCATTTCTTCCGATTTTATTTGAGTTTGGTCTTAAGGCAAGTGCAATGAATGCATACAATCTATCTTCGCTTATCGGTGTGATTTTTCAACTTACAGACGATATTTTCACTCAACATTTAGTAAAAGCGTGTAAAATTTTTCTTACCAGAAACATTTGAGATAACGGTAAAATTGTTGACATTTCGGAAAACCAAAACCAGATATTTGCAGACGTGTTTTTTATCACCCGATGAAAAGCTATTTCCGTTTAATTATATATTGATGTTTCATGTGTCAGCAAAATATCGTAACCTAATTTTTGTTGCCTGTCTGAAGAATGTAATTTGTGATATTTTGGTTATTTTATTAATTAATTATGAGTATATTTTAGTTTGATCAGTACGACGCAAGTTTGTGAATCCTTGAAATAATTTATGTTCTACAGTGGACTTATAAATATATGATAATGTAAACCTTATGTAATAATATTCATCTATTTCTCTAGGGAGTAACCAACCGTTGCTCGAATCATACATGACTTTTATTACTTATAATTACTGCTAGCACCTTACAAACAAACTTTTTACTTCAATATACATATAAACATAATACTTATATATATATATATATTCCTTGCTCTATAAGCATGTTTATATTTTATGTACCATTGTAATAGGAAATAAGCTATTATTATTGTTATGTAAAAACCGGTTTAATTTTAATTATGATCAAATTAACGTTGAAGTGTTATTGTTTTATAATACGCAATAGAGTCATAACGGGAATCTCCATTTCTCGCGATAACATTTTTTGCTTCCTAATAGGATTTCGACGAATTCTGGCTCTAACAGCATTAACAGCCTTCGTAGTTCTAACAGCACGTGGCCGCCCCGATCTTTTATGATCTTCGATAGAGGAAGTGTTGTTGTATCTGTTAACACTGCAAACTGGTCGTTGTCACTGCAAACGCACAAAAGTTAATAGTACGATATACGAACATACGGCTGATACCAAGCTTTTGAAGTGTCTGGAATATGACCGATGGCTCCATATACACTTTGTGTAAGGTGATCACCGCAATCCTATTTTCTTTAACACCTCATCAAATATGTAAAACGGCGCGAAATCGGAAGAACTTTTAAAAATAAGGAACTCGTTCCAAATTCAAAATAATAAAAAAAAATGGAAAAAAAAGAAAATTTTTTATGTAACAGTATTTATTGGCCTAACTAGTTATTAGTAAGGTGTCGTTTTAGGAGGTTTTTTAAATATTATTACAGTAGTAACTTGGGATATAATAACCGGTAGATATATACACACTTACGAGGGACATCGTTTTATGTAAAATCACAGATTAAACTCTAATACATACCGCATCATCGAATATTTGTTATGTTTCGATTACATCAAATTTCGCGGCATGCATGAGTTGCAGGGGACGTGTCAAATGCGCTGTGATTGGATAATTCAATCAATTTCATTCAATTCAATCAAAAAATTCAATCTTGCAGTGGTATTGCTTCGGTTTAGGTACATTTTACAGATGGCAGTTGGCAGCATCCATCCATCGACTGTGGCCAGCTTCACTCGGTCGCTGTGACGTAGGCGTGGGACCCAAAGCTTTTTATCTTGCAATACTTGCTGGACGTGCTGAAGCTCGGCGGTTAGATGTTTTCTGTCACAGATTCTGTGAGATTTACACTCAGTAGCTAACTGTGAAGAACGATCGTGAGATTCACCATTTAAATATCGGTTGGTATGGGTCTTTTTTCTATACATAATGTGACCAATAGTGTTATCAAGATTTCGGATGACTAAAACATCCAGGAAAGTTAAAGAATTATTTGCCTCTAACTCCATTGTGAGTTGTATTTTAGAGTTTATGGAGTTAAGGTGGTATAAAAATACAGTTGCATTGTCAGATGGTAAAATTGTGAAAGTGTCGTCTACGTACCGCTTGTAGAATCTTGGATTTACAGGAACAGTAAGAAGGGCTTTCTCCTCAAAGTCCTCCATGAATATGTCGGCGACTATAGACGATACAGGTGAGCCCATTGCCACACCATCATCTTGCTTGTAGAACTCTTCATTCCACAATAGATAGCCAGATGTGAAGCAGTGTTTGATTAATACTGCATATTCTGCAGGCATTATGTTATATGTAAATTTTATAGTTAACGCAAAACACGACAGGAAATGAAATTTTATTGGTGTAATTTGGCACCACCAAAATTCTGTAATTAAAGATACCCTCAAAAAATTTTATATAAAAATTATAGTTTAGGTCATGTTCTAGTTTGTTATTTATAATATTGCCAATATATGTTAAGTAGTTTTTTTTTCTCCTTACTTTTACATACAAACATCCAAACCCACTTTCACGTTTATAATATTATATATTTATAAACGTATGAGGTAGTATAGATAGTAGGAGAGGCAGGACTAATAGGATAGGATTTTTTATCAGATAAGCCTATGAAAACTATTTTAATGTCTATAATTTGGCTAAAATAAGTTTGTGTTTATCCTTTTTATATCAATATTTATTTATCCAAGCCAAATTATGTCCGCAGCGCGAATGGCAATGCAAGCAGTTCGACCAGGGAAGGACAACGCTCACCGTATAGCAGCGTTATATAATAGCGTCATGCTGCTGTGTTTCGTAGTTCTAATGACGATAACTAAATAAAAATGTCGCAAATCCTACGACTTAGAAGGAATTCCCCGTTACTGGTTTTAAGCCACCAGCATTATGCTGCTATTTTACACTGCTGTTAGAGTCAAAGTAACTTAGGGTCTATGCTCTAAGTATTCGATCCCTCCCAATACCTAATTAAGTTGTAAGTATAAATTTTTAGTGTATCTTAAATTATAGTTCTATGATGGTGTCAAAATTAAACAATAAAATTTCATTTCGTGACGTGCGCTGCGTTAACTATTAAAACTAACGGATTGGACCTTTTAATCTTAATATTCCGGGATACACCATATATAATAATAGATAATGTTATTTATCATTATATCTATCTATAATAGATAAGTCCCAATAACTGTTATTTGTTTAACGTTTTAGATGGGCGAAACAAAAATTTTAATGTATTCCATAGTATTGCAGTATAGTGAGCGGTCCGCAACTTTAAAGTTTTCTGTAATAAAAAGTTCATCAGGATTTAGTTAAAAAGAAATTGAGCCAGGGGTTAAAGCTATTAAAAAGTAAAAATCCTGGTATGTCGGTAATATTTCTTACTAAATGTCGACACTTTCCGTCTTTCTTCTACGTTGATAGTAGAGCAATGAATTGCAATGAATGCTTTCCTATCGTCCTGGTTCTTCCTGGTCCGGGTCCTGGTCCTGGTCGATGTAATTTTTCAACCTGATAGCTAATATATGATTAATATAATAATGATTATTTAATTCAAAATTGCAAAGGCGTAAAATTTTTTTTTTGATATTTTACATCTAGGTTCCGCAATAAAATATTATCGTGCACCCAGCGAAATGAATGGGTATCGGCTAATATTAAATAACAGTGATAACGATATTTTTATTTTTAGAGGTAATGGAAATTAGTTGCAACATTATAGAACGTTTGATTAGTTCTTTTGTATTGTAATTAATCATCTTAATATTAAAATTCCACTGCTGAAAATTGACCTTCCTCGTAGATAGATTCCTACTCTTTTTAAAAAGGCCGGCAACGCAATTCTCTTGACGATGCAGCTATTTACGGGTGACGGTAGTCACTTACCATCAGTTGAGCCGCATGCTCGCTTGCCTTCTTTCATATAAAAAAATATTGCCTCATAGGGGAAAATTCGCCACGCTTAGCAAGCGGGTTTGACGACCGCTGTTTTTTTTTTCTAGACGGATATCCGCACGAACGGGTCGGCTCGATCGGTGTTGGACCACGGTCTTGCAGAATACCAGCTTAATGCTGCTAAGTTCATATGGCAAGTGTAGGAAACCGTACACCCTTTTTACTGGAAATGGGGCATATGCTAAAAGGACTAACGTCTCACTCATGATAAAAAAACAACCTATTCCCATCTATTCCAATTTGATTGCCCACTGTAGTTGTAGATATCATGATAGTTTAAGAAAAAACGGAAAAAGAAATTAATTGCTTTACGGAAAATACCGTCACTGCAAACGCACAATGCATCAAAATAACTGCGGTGGCGCTGTTATCGCGCCACAACCAAACCGTACCGAAAACTATGACGAAGTTTTCTAACTTCTTCGCTATAAATGACACAGCTCTGTATTACCACACGGAACGTTAGTCCCGTTCTGGCCCCATGGGAGGTTTCCTTTTTCCTTCCATGACTGAAAACTGACAGTATGTTTAATATGGTGATTAGTGAGGTGACCAACTTGATGAAGGTAGATGCATAGTATTTTTATCACAGCATATGTGTTCTTTTTAAAAACGTTTCAACTGTATCCCGTGGTATCCTAAAGGTTATCTACCTCACATATTTTTTAAGTATTTGATACTTTATAAGCTTATGAAATCGGTCTTGTTACAAATCATTTTTACTAAAAAGTTTCGGCCTTAACGCCTTTAGTACACCTACGCATTCGTATGCGGTAGCGAAACAACGAAAAAAACTGTAAGTAGTGTGGCAGGTTTTCGCATATGATATGTCTCACTCTAGCACATAGATAGATGAAATAGTTGCGTCCTTGTCAGTATTGTTTCGCAAGGACCTGCGAAATGGCCGCTACACAGACGCATACGTTTCGCTAGTGATGTTTCGCATCGCAAAGCGTCAGCTCGCGTTCTGTCGGTGAGGACAGATTTTCGCGCCATGGATGCCGAAAATACTGAATTATTTTTGCATTCTATTTGAGATTATCCCGTATTATACGCAATTGGACACGCAGATTATAAAAATACGTACAAAAAATAGGTAGCATGGAGAAAACTTCAAGAAAAGACTCGGATAGATGGTAAGAAATTTATTGTTTATATTTCATACAGGCATACATTTTATGTTTTTAATTTTCTTTGAAATAATTTACAAATTGTGATCGAACATTAAACACTGCTAAGTCTGCCCTATGTCTATTGGCATGCACTGGTACGAATGCTCTTAAAGTGTCCGAAAATTGTTTATTTTCGTATGTGTGTGCACCTTCTTGTATCTTCAATAAGTTATGCAAGCATACTGCAGCTTTAACAATTTTCATAGTATTATTCAAATCTGTTTCAAAGGGCCTCAAGAATATTCTAAATTTTTGTGCTAAAATGCCAAACGCACATTCTACTACTACTCGTGCCCTACTTAATGATTTATTAAATCTTTTTTTATCATTGTCATTCATTGCTGCGTCTTTAGGGAAAGGTCTCATTAGAAAGGTTTCTAATTTAAATAAAGGTCTCATTAGAAAGGTTTCTAATTTAAATCCTCCATCTGCAATGAATACATGTGGTGTAGTCTGTTGGAAACCTAGCAAAGGTTTTGGAGCTGGCAAATTCAGATCCCGTCCACTTTTTAAAAGCTTATAAAATGATGAGTTCTCAAATATTGTACTATCGGAATCTTTACCATATGATCCTACATCTATGTAAGTAAATTTGTAATGTGGATCAACTATTGCCAATAACACAGTAGAAAATCGTTTTATATAGCAATAGAACAGTGAGCCGCTGTTAGGTGGACATTTAATAACAATATGCTTGCCGTCAATACTCCCGAGGCAATTAGGAAAACTCCATATTGTTTGAAATGCTTCAGCTATTTCCAACCATGTTTTAGTAGAAGGAACCGGGATGTCCTCTGGCTGTAGTATCTTCCAAATTTGTTCGCATACTTGAGTTACTATCTTTGAAACGGTGCATTCACCCAAACGATAAGAGAAAGATATTGTTGTGTATGTGTCACCAGTTGCTAAAAACCTGAAATATTGTTACAGTTAAAACTATGAAAAATAAATGGAGAAACCTAAGGGACACTTTAAAAAAATATAAACAGGGTCAGCAAACAAGCAGTGGACAAGCCGCGAAGAAGCTTGCTAATTGGCAATGGGCTGAACAGATGTCGTTCATGGATTCATCCACAAACTTGAGACAAACTGAAAGTACACTGGATACCAATACTATATCTATAGAGAATGATTATGAAAATTCTACAGAAGCCGAACAATGAATATGGTTTCAAATAATGAATAGAACGAGGTCGTCATTCAAGAACTGGAGACAGCACGGTCTACAGCTGAAACTACAGCTGAAACTGCAACTGAAGTATCCCGGAAAAGACGACGCCGTGTAAGCAACGACGATCCTGCTGAGAAGATTATAAATTATTTAAAGACTCGAAAATCGGGTACTACGGACAGAAACGCTACAGAAAATCTTGCCAAAATACCGTGTGATCGAATGGACATGGATTTTTTAGGTTATGCCCATACTGTAAAGAAATTTTCTCTACGAAAGCAAGCTATTATTAAACTTCAAATAACACAAATTATAACTGAGGCTCAACTTGAAGAATTGAATAATAGCCGGCCAAATTCTAATTTCAGCAATGCTTCATCCTCTAGTACTCTCAATTTTTACTACGTCGATAACGACTGGAACATTTCAAGATCGACACCATCTGAAGAACTGCAAATACATTCCATCCCAGACACTCAAAACGTTTCAACTGCACAGATACACATACCTAATACTCAAACACATTCTATCCCAGACACTCAAAACGTTTCAACTGCACAGATACATATACCTAACACGCAAACACATTCAATCCCAGACACTCAAAACGTTTTAACTCCTACACTAATACACATACCCAGTGGCAGAAGAATACACACACCCAAGTATCACGACAACAAAAAAACGAGAACACAACTTGTAATTGGAATGAAGCGTGAATAAATACTTAAACATTACCTATAAGTAATAAATTTTATTACCTTAAACAAAGTGCCAGTCTTTCTTTTGTTGGAATAGCCTCTCTGTAGTTTGTATTTTTCTTTTTAATAGGCTTCATTCTGAAATAGGTACAGAAACGATCTTCATGTGATTGAAGTTCTAAGCACAGTTTATTTTCTCCAAGTTTCCGTCGTTTCTGATTTATTTCATGCACCCAGATTCTACGCTTTCTCTTTAGTACTGACACCAACAATAACAATTCTTCTTCTTCAGAATCTGAAAGCGATGACTGAGATGACATTCTGAAATTACGTCTGCACCTGCAGTCGTCGAAAATTACAATGGCATATCATTGCGAAAAAGTTGCGAAAACATTGCTGTGTACTAACGTTCCGTAGATATTTCACTACGCAGTAGTTCCGCAGAGACTCGCTGGCGCATACGAATGCGTAGGTGTACTAACGCCTTAAACTATAATAAAAGTCCGTTAAAGATATTCAACATCTTCGCGAAATTTGACATTAGCTGTCAAATTCCATTCATCACATTATAGTTCGCATATTTCCGCGGGACTGCTTTCGTGAAATAGATTTCAGTTTAACAGTGCGACTAAATATAAACGACTTTTTGTAGTAATGCCAAGTATTTTATAACTTTTTTTGTATAAATCTCTCTGGTCATTTCTTTCAAATGACCCTAACGTGTAAAATCGCTAAAGAATACAAAAATGCCATTAACATATTTTACTGACGTTGTATTGCGATAAATAAGGAGTTATTAATGGTTAGAATTGCCGTTTGGCTAACAAATAGTCAATACACCTGAGAAGTTATTGTTTGCACCGGAATCAATGGTCCTTTACAAATTGCATTACAAGAATCTGCAGCTTATTTCAAGCTACAAATTCTCGAAGCACATCCACTCTATACAATAATGATGTGAATTATGTCATAGAATTATGAAGAAATGTTGTATTTAGCTTGAAGTATTATGATATTTATACGAGTATATCCGTGACGGTGCAAACCTAGATCATAAATCTGTATCTGGAAAGGAAAATGGTGTCAAAAAATTATTGACGCTAACACTGTTGATATAATCATAGTGATAACAACATACAATATTTATAACCATAATAAAAAAATACAAAAACTAAAAACTCTAATCCGCAGTAAAGTGTCAAAATGCTAGACACTAGAAGGAATATACAATTATAAAATTTAGAGAGAAAAGAACTAGCCCTCTTATCTCCAGCGGCGACATCATGTCGCAGACCCAGTTATTTTAGTAACTTCGCCGTTAATGGACCTACAACAAAGGGCACAAATATGTAGTCATATCTCACAGACTCATGCTTGCGCCACTTACACAATTTAGCCCATGGTGCAGTTGAGGCTCGTTTTACCTCATGTATGACAGTTTGTGCAAGTAGCTACGCGCGTAGCATATCAAACTAGGGCTTTACCTCTCTCAATTCAAGGACCAAAGTCATAGCGTGGGGTCTCCTGCCATCGTCTGCAAAAACTTCACAAGGCTCTAAAACTGAGGGAACAATGCCATCCTGCGTTAGATCCTATAATTAATAACGTAACACCAAATATCATTAAAGAGACCTGAAGATACTATAAATTCATTCAGTCAGATCAGTCCAAAAATTGATACTCAAAAGCTAAAAGTAGGCCGGGTTGACTATGGTATCAGGATATTGAACATCACAGTACTCTGTAATCTTGGGTGTTACAAAATACTATAAGCATTGAGAATTGTATATAAGTTAATTAAACGCAATAAAATCCATACAATTACTTTTATTCAATGTGTAGCTTTTACATAAGACAAATCTTCATTAAACCGTTATTCAAAAAAGCTATAAATGCGTAAACAATCAAAGAGTAAACCACTAACGTTTTGTTTTTAGAATTAATGTAATACTCTAGAACCTAAAAATTTTTTTTCAAACTTACTTCTCAATTAAATTACATAATAAGTAAACAAAAATATCACCTCAGTTCAAACAAATGACATCTGTTGTGCGCAAGATTCTTAACCCTCATTACAGCAATCGTTTTTGTAATGGAATATCAATCAATCAATAGTCAATAAATCATTTATTCTGGACCAAACCTTTTGTACATTTTTTACACCCACCAAACTGCGTAACAGTTTGTCGGCGGATAAACTAATGAAAATAAAAGAGTGTAAATAAAGCAAGTTTTAAATTTTAAAATAGGTATTTAATTATTATTAAGAAATATTTACTAAAATTTAGCCTATTATTAAAAAACTACTATTATTAAGAATTACTAACATTTGACCTATAGAAACTACTACTAATATTAGGATTTACTACCTTTTTCATATCTCGCAACAACTTCGTTAAGGAAAACAGTTTTCAATTTATTTTTTAGTGTTGTTTACTTATTCTAGTATTATCTTCTCTCAGCCAATCGAGATCATTAAAAAGTGTGGGGGTAAAATATTTGTAGGTACTTTTCCCATAGTAATTTTTTACTGGTGGTCGCACGAGTTTACGCCCTCTAACGCTTCTAGTATTATACCTATTTTGCACTTGTTCTTTAAATTGGTCGTTATATAACTGTTCAAGAACCAGCAGGTACTTGACCTTCTCATGTACAGGAAGCATTTTACATGCAACAAAATGTTTTTCATAATTGTCTTTACAGGCAAGTTTCGTTTGTGGTTTGACAACGTATTTCATAAAACGGATTTGCAACGATTTTATACTGTTAAGATAGGTTTTTAAAGTACGGCAATACGTATTTAATCCATAAGTTAGTAATGACTCGGCGAGAGCAAAATAAATGACACGCAACGATTTCCTATTCAACGGTGCATTCAGGATATAAAACTTACTTAACACTGCCCTGAGCTTTGTACACACTGTGTCAACCTGTGTTTTCCAATTCATATTATAGTCCACCCACAGACCTAGATACTTAAATCTACTTACATACTCCAGCTTTTGACAAACACAATTTAAATTTTTATCGTGCATACATTCATACGTGTGACCCACAATACCTATATCCACGCTCTTGACATTTTTTGCCACTAAGTTGTGCGGTGAGTACAGATGCATCACTTTCGTCTTATTAAGGTTAAGTATGATACCATTATCATGAGCCCAACGAGTAACATTATCGAAGTCAGCCTGCAGCACAGCCCTGATCTCTTGTATATTCTTAGAGGAGTATATAAGGCACATGTCATCCGCGTACATATATACTCGAGATTTTTTAACCACATTACTGACGCTATTGATAATATGCCTCCTTAAAGCTGATAAAGAAAACGGACAACATTTTATGCTTTTGCAAGTTTTCGACAAAGAAATCAAATGTGTAATGCTTACTTTCTTATCACAAATTAGTTTGTCATTACACACACATACGTACATATCATCACGTCTATAATCCCCTAGAGGGTAGACATAGTTCAAATGGCATCGAACTCTGACCAATTTAGCCAAAAAATATGGATTCAGATGTAAAATTGTGAAAGAAGTGATAGCTGGCTATCTCATCGGTTTTACAATTACAAACCCAATATCCTAATAGTCACTTTTTACGATATGCTAAGCAAATAACACTATTGACATTTTTTTTGTTACAAGTCCCACAAAAACATGGACCTCCCAATTGATAACATTAAAGCCATGAAGCTTTGTATAACGCCTTAGTTAGAAGCCAGCTTGAGTGCAACGCGGTTATCTAGGTGCTACATGAAACCAAGTACTGCATCATGCTGAAAACAATACAAAATAAATTTGTTAGGTTTCTATATTTGAAGCAGTAGGGGGTATATCCTTTTTACCCACTTAAATATCCAACCTTATTGGTTTTAGGAATGGTGGGAGACAATGAACTTCGTGTTAGACGGAACTTCGCATTTCCATATTTTATTTCTTGAAGGGAATGGAAAGGGAACTGGAATGTCCCGGAGCAGTACATGTGGCGGAGGCGGCGGCCGCGGCTGCTGGCGGTGCCGCGCGTCCGCACCAACTTGCTGAGCGAGGCGCCGTGCACTCGCACCACCACTCTACTTTACCGTATGCATGAGGAAGTAGACATATTTGTATGTTCTATGAGTTCACAGGGGCTGCATTAGTATTGTGGCAGTGGAAGGAAAAAGGGAGATCTCCCGCCGGGAAAGGTATTCTACCCGGGGAGCAGCCAACACACGTGTGATAGTTCGGAGAAGTCCTATATATACTGTTTATGATTCGGAATTTTGATAGCGTAATTTAGGCTTCGTTATGTTTCGTTTGCGGCGCGACAACAGCGCCGCCACATCACCCCCTGCTCAGACCGGAGGTCGATAGTGCAGTCTCGTTGCCGACGAATGTGCAAGTGCCAGGAGATTACCTTGTAGTCTGCGGTGAGTCGAGAAGAAGGCAAGTAATCTGCGAGAGTGCCGTGAAGCAGAGGCGAACAGTAAGGCTCAGAGCCGTGCCGAACACTGTATAGCGCAGAGAGTAGCTTGAAGGAACAGGAAGCATTATTATTCCAGTGCTGCGATGAACCTTGTGAAGCTAGATAGCTTGCAGGACATGAAGACTGCTGACGATATCTGCTCGGGAGCGAATGGATGGGGTATTCTATGACGATGATGAAGTTTAAAGTTTCCGAAGGTTGTTGGTTGCGTGTTCAGATCAGGTCGGGTGGTCATCACTGTGGCCGTGGAAGGAAAAGGGGAGATCTCCCGCCGGGCAAGGTGTTATGCCCGGGGAGCAGCCAACGCTCCTTGTCATAGTTTTGCGCCCGAAGCAATTGGAAAGGGCTACCCTTTATGTAGGGAGGCGGAAAATGCATTACGCATACCACGATAGCCGGTCTATCGTGGTTATGAGGGACTCACTGCCTACCGGGGGAACCTAAGTGATACCCTCTAAAACCGCCTTTTGGGACTGGCAACTGGCTGTTTATGCTTCTTATGCCGTATCGGAAGCGACCCTCTTTTGGGAAAAGAGGGCGCAGGTGGCTACGAGCCGCTGAGGGAGTGCCTACGATGGCAAATTAATTATGAATAATTTAATTTAATTAGAGTTTGCCTGAGCCGCTAGGAGGCAGTTCAGGTCGTTTATCAGTTTATTAGGCGGGTCCGAGTGAGAGCTTCTCGGCCTGCGGACTCGATAGCGAGAGCTGCCTCACGAATAAGATGATTGGAGTGCGACTCTGAGGCTTGGAAGAAGTTCTCAGAGAGTTTTTTAAGAAATTGTTGGATTGTAGGGAACTCTAGGTCCCGATGAAGGTCGGCATTACGGACGTACCAGGGTGTGTT